TGTATAGATTACAAGGAGTTGAATATGCTCACTGTTAAATATAAATATCCTTTTCCAAGGATTGATGACATGATTAATCAATCAGACGGGGCTTCAATATTTTCAAATATTGATCTAAGGTCAGATTATCACCAGCTAAGGATCAGAGAAGAATGCACAGTGAAGACTGCTTTCAGGAACATATATGGACACTATAAGTTCGTGGTAATGTTGTTTAGATTGACAAATGCTCTAAAAATTTTCATGAACCTGTTGAACAAAGTCTTCAGATAGTTTTGGATACTTTTGTGATTGTCTTTATAGATGATATACTAGTGTACTTGCGGGATGAAGTCAGTCATACAGGTCATTTGCATGTTGTGCTGTAGGTTTTCAAGGAGAATACACTTTATGACAAAATTTCTAAATGAGAATTTTGGCTTAAAATTATGATTTTTCTTCGACAAATTATCAGTAGTGATGGCATGTTTATAAATAAGAATAGGATTAAGCGATTGTAGATTGACCAAGACCTACTACTATCAATGAGGTCAGGAGTTTTTTTATGTCTGGCTAGTTATTGCATGAGGTTTTGTTGAGGGGTTTTCACTGATTGTTATGCCAATACCAATTTTGACTCAGTAGGCAGTGAAGTTTGAATGGTCAGATCATTGTGAGGAGGCTTTTAAAAAACTGAAGACTTGTTTAATGTTAGCTCCAATATTAGCTATTCCTTCAGGTTTTGATGGATTTCAAATTTTCAGTGATGCATCTTTGAGGGGTTTGGTTGTGACTTATGTGGCATGGTAGGTTCACTGCATATGCATCACGACAATTAAAGAATCATGAAAGGAATTATCCTATGCATGATCTGAAGTTAGTTACAGTTGTACTTGCACTCAAGATTGGAGGCATTATTTGTCTGGAGTTAGATGTAAGGTTTTCACTGACCATCAGAGTTTGAAGTGTAACTTCACTTAGAAAGAGTTGAATTTGAGGCAAAGGAGATGGAGAGAGGACTATCCAGACCTTGGAGGAACTACTAAGGTTATGTGTCCTTGACTTTGGTGGAGGTTGGAAATCACATATACCTTTAGTAGAGTTTATTTATAATAACAGTTACTAGACTAGTATTGGGATGACTCCAAATGAAGCATTGTAAGAAAGGAAGTGCAGAACACCTCTATGTTGAGCTAAAATAGGTGAAAGAAGGATCCTTGGACTTAATTTGGTTGATGATGTTCCTGAGAAGATTAGATTGATCAGAGACAGACCGAGGGCGGTATATGACAATAGAAGAAACTCTATGATGCCAAGCATAGACCTGTTGATTTTGAAGTTGGAGAGTTTGTTTTCATCAATGTATGTCCATTGAAAGGTGTGCAATAATTTAGAAAGACATGAAAATTGAGCCCCAGATTTGTTGGTTCTCTTAAAATTGTGGAGAGGATTGTTAAGTGGTTTACAAATTGGCTTTATCAATCACATGCAAAGAGTTCATATTTTTTCAACATTTCTTCAATGAGAAAGTTTATTACAAATGAAGCCAGTAGGGTGATAACAAACTCAGTTGACATTCAACCCGATTTAACTTATGTTAAGGAACCTGAAAGGATTCTAGATTATGATGTGAAGAATCTGCAAAATAGAGAGATTTCATTTTTGAAGATTTTATGGATGCACGGATCGAAGAAGAATGCTACTTGTGAAAAGGTTTGCGAGATGGAACAAATATATCCTCAGCTTTTCTTTTGATGTATGTTTACTTTCATGTTTATTTTCAAAATTTGAGGATGAAATTTTATAAGGAGGGAAGATTTTAATAGCAACAAGTTTTAAAAAATAAAAATAAAAATAATTAAAGTTAATTGAATAGGCACGAAGGATAAGAACCCCTTCGGTTAAGACTTAAGAGTTATATTACTCATTCACACCAACATAGAAAACGAGAAACAGAAAATGGAAAAGATAGAGAAAGGAGATTATGCCCTAGCCGAGTAAGGAAGAAATCGTAGGGAGGTGGGGGAGTAGAAATCAAAGAAAGTGGGTGCAGTGTCAATCCATGAGAGAGAAGAGAAGGACTGAGAGGAAAGAGGCAGTGACATCAAAGACTTACTTGGATCGAGCCACGATCGTAGAAGAAGGAAACCGAAGGAAGGGATTATGTGATTGCGTTTTGTTGGGCTGAGATGAGACCAAAGGAAGACGAACCCTCGCCATCTAATAGAGATCCAAAGCTCGTGTCCTACCTTTGAAGTTCAAAGTGCGTTGAGCCGGGCGTAGGAGATGAGGAAGACGAGTCCATGTTCCTGCATTGCTCGCGTGCAAGAAGAAGAGGAGGAAGGGGAGTTGAGGCAGTGTCACTGCTCTGTTGGATTTCACCAAAGTCGCAAGGAAGAGTTCGCCTACGTAAGCTTAGAGAAGCTGGTCGTGAGGCCAGGTCTATAACACTGAAGCCTAAGGTAAGTCATTTGAATCATTTAAGTTTTAATTACATAAACCTTTATTTATTAAATGGTTTATGATATTAACTATTAAAATTTATGATTTTAAATCAAGTATTGTAGTGGAAGATTTCGAGAGAAAGGGAAGGGTTGGACAACAAAAGGATTTAAGGTATATGAAGGTTTTTATTAAGCTATTTAGTGAATCTACAGGTGTGTGTAAGTGTATAAATGCAATGTTAGTTTACTTAGAACTTTAATACAAAGATTTTGGCTTTTAAGAAGATGAAGTTGTGACGCGAGCAAGAAAAGGAGGAGATCAATTTGAAAGCCTATAAGATATATGTTAAACCTTGCGTCATCAAAGAAATTAATAATGTAATTAGCTATGTTAATTAATTAATGTTAGGAAGTGAGAAAGAAGGCCGGCTAGTCCCTTTGATTTGGGGAAGAAGACAAAAAATTTTACAAGATAAGTTGTCTTTTATATTAAAGTTTACTTCACTTAATTAGAAATTGATATTTATAAAATATTAATATTTAGCCGCAATTTAGGTTGAAACACATTTAAGCCTTGAAAATCAGGGGTTCAAGAGTGAGTGTGGCAAGCAAGCTAAGCAAAGTGAGTAATTATTTTCTTCTATGTATTAAATTTAAAGTTTATTAAATAAAAAATTTCTTTAAAACCTTAAAAGATTATTTTATGTTGGTATGCATGTTCTAGCTTAAGAATGAATGAAAATGAAAGGGAAAAAGGAAAATGAATGCTTAATGTCTGTGAGACGATATTATTTAAATGAAATGAAATGAAAGTTAAATGTTTAAGTCATATATGATTACTCTTAGATGAAACTGACAGGGGGATGCAATGTCCCCGTGCACGTTAAAAGAATTGGTAAATGTTCATCTTTAGGTGCATTTTGAGTGTACATTCAGATATATTTTTTAGGGTGTCTTCGAACACATTTTGAGGGTGTCTTCGAACACATTTTTGAGGGTACCTTCGGGTATGACTGTAATTCTGTGATGACTATTAAAAAGATTAAAAAAGGTAAATACTTAAAGTGAAACAAGAACGAATAAATTTAAACTTTAATGAAACTAACTGTATTTTTTGTTGGTCATTCATACATAACATAACATAACATCTAAATTTATTGTATGTTAGATTATAATAATTCACTAAGTTTTACTTACAACTACAATTAATAGTTTCCTTCAGGAAAAAAACAATTTTAGGTTGTTGTGTCTAATAGGAGAGACATGGTTTATCGAAGAAGGATCACTGTTGCTAGCTATTTTTATGATGGTTGTTTTTCTTTATTATTTCTTTTAAATATTCATATATTATTTAATACTGGCGTGAGATGTTATCTTTGAATGTTATTGTTTCTGGATGCTTTAGAATTCATTGCACTTTGTGGTTTAGTGGGTATTTTATATGTAATGAAAGTTTGTTATAATCAAAATTCTCGATGACTTTTAATCAAAGTTCAAATGTTTATTGCTCAAAATATTACCTCAAGATTCCTATTATGCTTGACATTTTTTATTCAATGATAGAAATTTATTGATGACATACCAGATATTAACAAAATAAATGTAATAAGATGGTCAATTAATATAAAATCTTGAATCCTAAAATAAGTAGTCATTTAATTTATCTAAATTTAATATATATCTTGAAACTTTTTAAGGAAAATTTTAAACATAAATCTACATTTATAGAATTTATTAATCTTTTTTGAGCTAAATCCTACTTTCCAAATATACCCTAAAAATGAGATTTATAATTTTATTCTAAAAAAATACTCAGAATTTTGAAACCTGCATCCTTTGATAAATTTTGCTAGATTGCAACTCTCAAGTCCTCATGTTTCTTCAACCCAAATTATCACAATCCTTGATGAAGAATTAAGGAGCTATGATAAGAACTCAAACTATTGATGTTTGGAATAGAAGAGTTCATGAGATGTGTTGATTTAATTTACATTCATCGAATCCCTAATTTTAATAAATATAGAATTTCAAGTAAAGTGATGTTTAGTTGTAAGTATGCTTTAATAAATTATGTAAATTCGAATTTAGTAAAGTTTAAGGTGTTTAAATTAAATCTTGTGAATTATTTGATAACATATTGTAGAATTTTAGTTTATTAATTAAAATTTAAATTTAATAATATTATATATTAATGATGTAGTTATTAAGAGTAATTAAATTTAATTTATGATTTTATTTTGAATTAAACTAATCAATAATTAAGTATTCATTAATTTAATTAATCAATAACAAAAAAAATTGATAAACTAATCATTTATTAAGTAATAATTTAATATTCATTAATTTAATAATTGGTTAGTTATTTATTAAATTAATTAATAATTAAGTTGATTAAAATTTAATATGTACTTTTTTTAATTAATTATGAAATAGTTACATATCATGAATAAAATCCATATAATTATGATTTATTTGATAATATATTTTGACTAACAATTAATAATTAATTAAATTAATTAAAACTAACTTAAATAAAATTAAGTTAAATCCCCAAGACTATCTTCCTCTTGACACTCTACCAGACACTCTACCACCCAAAACCCTCCCTTTCCTTTCTCCCGTGACCGTAACCCTCGCGTTTTAGTCGCGGCTAGATTTAGGAAGACAGCGACGGGATTCCGGCGTACAGAGACATCCGAAACTCACATCTTTGTTGTTCTTTCGTCCACTTCTGCCGGAAACCATTGAGGAAGGTAACCGTAGTCTTTCTACCCTTCCTCCAACCTCCCTTCGCGCGCTTCAGCTCGTCTAAATGCCTTAAATCCATCTTCCAAAGGGATTTACTGTACCGGGATTTAAGGCCAAAATGAGGAGAAACGGGATTTCAGATCTCTAGGTAAGTTTTCATTTTTTCTGTTTGGCAGGATTCGTAGGATTTATGTTTGCGCTATTTTGTTATTTAGAAGGTTTAAGTCAAATCATACCAAAATCCTTCCATCAAATAATCTTTATGGCAGGATTTAACGGGAATTTCACTGAAAATCCTGCCAAATGGCCAAAATGGAAATCCTACAGAATCTTGAATCTCGTTTCTCCGTTGTGTTTCCTTATCTCCCTAATATAATAAATCATGTCATTAGCTGAATTTAAATTTGCAAGTTTCACGAATAGCTTCTCTTTTGTGCTCGAATGTGTAGCACATTGGTTGGAAACAAAATGAAGAATTCCAAAGTGCTGAGTTTGAGAGCTCACCTTGTCAAAAAAAGAAGCTTATTTTTTTCGCACTTTGCTGCTCCATTGATGCTTTTCCATTGGTCTTTCATCTCGATTTGTATAGCTTCTCTGTCATTGAGGGTTGCAGATTGGAGAGGAAGACTAGGGTTTTATATGCCACCATCCCGTGGATGCCTTGGTTTGCTAGCTCCAGTTGCAGGTTATGCTTTTCTTTTTTATGTGAGGGTTTCAGATAGAAGAAGACAAAAGGGGATGAAAAAAGAGGGAAGAGAATAAAGAATTCATATTTTAGGCATGCTTAGGTACAATTATAATTTTGGGAAATTTACACAAGTACCATACAAACCTTATGCATTTACATATCTCACTCCTAAACTTTAATATTTACATACAAATCAATGTTTTAACCTATGCATAAAAAGATGGAATTTACATAATTGTTATAGCGATACTTTTAATTTATTTTTTAAAAGAATATGGAGGCATATTTCATAGAATAGCCCATTTTTTCTTCCAAACTCAAAATATACTCTTAATGACATTGCATAATGATTAGTGATGCTTATTAAACATTTTTTCTTCTCCACACAATTTGGTTAACTCTTTCATAGTCTGAAATGTGATATTTTGTGTTGGAAAATGAAAATTTTCTTGTTGTAATGAATATCCAATATTCCCTAAATATTTTTTTTCTGTTAGATAAGTTAAACATTAGTTTCTATATCAAAAGTTAATATTGAGCTTAACAAGTGTTATCCAATATTGAGAAGATATGGGAAAATTATGCTATGAGATCGCCTTACAAACTTGAAGATTCGATGAGCACTGCCCTCTAATTTAGTCATGAAAAAAGTAAAGCATATATTTAAGTCACCTTCTATCATTATATTCTGTATAGGTGAACCATAGTGTTTAATGTATACAACCTTATCACCATTTGACACACGTGCATCAATATGTATCACATTAATAACACCAATAGAGTTTTATGTCACAAAGTAATATGTTTAAATTCTAAAATTATACCTTGAAGTGTGACATATATCAATGATCATATGATATTTTTTTGAGGGTTTTTAAAAAAATTGGATCTTCAAGTTTGATAATTTTAAAAGATAGACTTTTTAAATCATTCAGACCAAGTGAAAACTATCTATTGATTTTTTTAGATGAGTGTAGAAATTCTCACAAGTTGACTTTATAGACTCGTTATGAAATAAAATGTAAAGTGTTATAAGTAATAATCACCTATGAAGTCATTTTAAAAGAGCCACAAAATTTCATGAATAATGTGCAATGCATTCAAAAGATAAATAGATTAATTGACTTATATTGAACTATTATGTAATCTCATTGGATGACCCCCAAGAAGTTTTGTTATCCACTAATCCCACAAGGAGTGTGAGAGATGTATGATTCGTAGTACACATACATTACACGTACAACTGTTGTAATAATTTTTTTGCAGTGCTCTCTGTCATTATAATTCATTGCTATAATAATCAGAAACACATCAAATCATATACAAGAGCAAAAATCTTATACAAAAGTAAAGAAGATTAACGTAGCAACATACCAAATTTTTTATAGCATGCAAAAATTTTAATGTAGCATATAACCAATAAATGAGATTATAAAATATCGCAACAATCAACAGTCTAAGTATGTGTTCGTAGTGTTTTCATCAAAAAACACATCATAAGTATAAACATCTCCATTCTAAACACGTAGAATTTGTATCAATCAGTTTAGTGCGATTTTTATAAAAGAAGCACAAGTGATGAACCCTTTTCTCAAATATTGTGGATATGAAAAATTCTCTTTTGATAGAACCGAAGGAGTGCCAATGTTGCAACGATGGTGGCATAGACTTAGGAATGGTACAGCGAAGGCAAAAGGTGCGACGTCAGCGATGGCGTGTGGATTGTGCATGCGAATTGGAAAAGTGGCGATCAAGGTAAGGGATACACAAGAGGGGAAGAGGCGAACCAGGCGTTTGCTTCACTTTGCGGTGAAGCTGCGGTGACAATAATAACGTGCAAATCATGTGTTCGAAGAGGAGAAGAGGCGATGCATGCATTTGCGATATTTCACTTTACGGAGGTAAACTTTGAATTAAAAAAGAATGAACCGTTGGACGAGGGTTGTCAAATGTGGTCGCGAGAATTGCATTAGATCCGTCATGGAAAATCCACAACTTGGGGCGGAATGCACATTCAAATGCTTGAATTGCGGTTTGAACCCAAAACATAGTAAAAAAGGCCAAAACAAATAACTTCTAAGTTTCTATTGAGAGAGTTCACCGGTTCATTGGTTTTGCGCTATAATTTAGGACCCATTCCTTCCGCTCTGTTAGAATCTTGATTTGTTTGCTATTTGTAATAGAGGCAGTTATATACATACCACTCAATTCACATGTATTTACATATTTAACACTTAAACTTCACTTTTTACATTTATACCACCCAAATCTTTCACATAACATAAAAAATACCACTTTTATAACTTTTAAAGTGAAATACACCTTGTCATGCATAGGAAAGATGGTATATATGTAAAAATTGAAGGCAAGGTGTAGATATGGAAATACATAGCAAATGAGTGGTATTTATGTAAATCTTCCTTTATTTTAACTTCTTCAAGCAAATGCAACTTTATTATGTCTTAGAACTATATTTTTGTTGTTATTGTTGGATATTTGATATGCTAAATTTCTACCTCAGACCTCTCTCTCGGCTGAAGATGGACGAAAGGCACTCATCAGAAATGCGGAAGTAAGGCATCTTGAATCCTGATATTCAAATGAATTGAAGCATTTTATTTTAGGGAATTTACACACGCCACATTATTCTTATGTATTTACATATCTATCATCTAAAATTTTACATTTACATTTTTAACTGTCAAAAAACAAATTTTGGTAGGAAAATTATTTACTTTCTTTCATTATTCACACATAACATACATTTATAGCAAATTAGCCCCTTATAATTTACAATCTTATTAAATATATCTAATCTACGTATGGAAAGGAAATATTTCCAAAATAAACATTAAAAAATATAATTAGGAAGAAAATAAAATTAATTGAACTGTTTCCAAAGTTGTCTTGAATTAAATCCTCCAATATTCTTTAGGTGGCTGGCTGGTCGGCCCACCATGGAAAGGAGGTTAGGACATTTTTAAATTTTCACTCCTTTTCAAGTTGGGTGTAGATTTTGTAGAGACCAAGCTTGGTATTGAACTCTGAGAATTTGCTTAATGGAAGAGCTTTGAAGACAACAATAACTTGTTGGTGTGTGGGGATGTAGCTTAGTGATATAATTCCACAATTAACCTTTTTAGAGATGAGAGTGTTTATCAATTTCAATATATTTGGTCCTATCATGTTGCACGGGATTCTTAGCAATACCGATGAATGATTGACTGTCACAAAACATCTATATTGGTCTATTGGAGGTACACCCCAATTCCTGTAATAATTTATGAATCTAGAACCTTTCATAGATTTTTAAGGAGAGTGTCATATAATCTAATTTTACACTTCTTCTAGAAACAACACTTGCTTTATAGTTTTTCATGTAACTTAATTTTCCCATTTTTAGGAGTAATAACCTGCAAGGAACCTTATGTTGGTGAGTTTCCCAACCCAACTTGCATTAATGTAGACTTTTACCTTTCAATTTTTGGTTTTCTGAAAAATTCATCTATAATTAGGAGTCTTTTTGAGAAATCTCAAAATCCTTTGCACCATATCTAAATGCACTTCATTTGGGTTATTCAAGTATTGGCTTACAATACTAACATAATATGTAATATATAGCTTAGGATGTTACATGTAGATGAGTTTTTCTATCAATATTTGGTATCCCTTCTATCCACAGATATATTTTTTTCTTATTAGACTTCTTAGTGGTATTTAGTGGAGTATCAATAGGTTTGCATTCAATCATCTCCATCTCCATTAGTAGTTTTAGGCTGTATTTTCTGTGATATAACAATACCTTTCTTAAACCTTGCTTTCTCCATTTCTTGGAAATATCTTATGATTCCTAGGTCCTTGATTTCAAACTCAGTGGCAAGCACTTCTTTTATTTTAAGAGTTTCTTTTTCATCATCACTACTAAGAGTCACCCATATATACTATTAATGTAACAATCTTACCTTTCTAATTGTGTTTTATGAATAGTGTGTTATCAACTTGACTTTGAAAATATTCATTAGATCTCATAGTTTTAGCAGCTTTCCTAACTATGTCCGTGATGATTACTTAAGCCCATAAATAGATTTCCTGAATTTGCATACTAGGTGTTTGTTAGAATCATTCTCAAATCCTAGTGGTATCATCATGTACACTTCCTTTTCAAGATTCTCATTCAGTAAGGTATTTTTTATGTCAAATTGATACAATCCCTACTCGTTGTAACTGCTATTGAAAGTAGAACCCTGATAGTGTTCAGTTTGATATCTAGTGCAAAGGTCTCTTGATAGTCAATCCTATAGACTTGCGTGAAAACTTTTGCAACCAGTCTAGCTTTGAATCTCTCAATATCACCATCAGCTATGTATTTCATTTTGAACTCCCATTTGCATTCAACTTGCTTCTTATTCAGAGATGGTTAGTAAGAATCTATGTGTCATTATGTTTTAGTGCTTGAATCTTTTTTTCAACTGATTTTTTTCATTTTGGGTTTTCAAGTGATTCATCAATGAATTTAGGAATCTGCACGCTATCAGTTACATACTTCTACATTGAATATTTATTAAAAATTTTCATGTCATCACACCAGAAGAGGAAGGAGATAACTAATGATTACTGGGCTCCTCACCCAAAATTTTAGGTGAGTGTGAACTCAAGTTTTGGCTTGAGCGTTTTTGTCTTTGCAAGTTTTCTTCCACCTGCTTAAAATTTTTCTTCCTCCTTATATACACAAGAAGTTCGTTGTTATGGACTTCAGATTGAGTTCTTTGGACATCTTTAACATGGATGGGAGGGCTAACTAAAAGAGGAGTTGGTTTTGAGAGTGCAGGTGTTATCAAGTGTATCCCAAAATTGATGTTCATTTGCACAATCTCCCTGAACATCATATTTGAGATAGTAGGTTTGATTTTCAAAAAATTGCAACATTTGTAGTATTTTCTGGTAACAGATGAGTAGCTTTTATAGCATTTTTTGTTTGATGCATTTTCAAGAAAAATACACTTGATACATTAGAGTCAAGTTTTGTGCGATTTGTGGAATGAATTTGAACAAATGATACATGCAAAAAAAAAAAAAAAAATGAAGTGGTATAATAAAAGAGAAAGCTTTGATGTGGGGATATGTATCCATCATGACATGAAGCGTTGTTTTGAAGTTAAGTATTTGAGTAGACATTCGATTGATAAGGTATGTTGCTGCAAGAACAGCTTCTGCCTGATATTTTGGAATTTGATGGGAAATAATATTTGAGTGGGATACCTCAAGTAGATGCTTGTTTTTTCCCAACTATCTCATTTTGTTGTGAGGTATTAATAAATAAACGCACTTGAATAATTCTAATTTCTTAAAAATCTAATCGAATAATGAAATTGAAATATTCTTTTGCATTATCAGTTTTGGGATCTAAATTTTGCATTGAAATTTTATTTGAATAATTTCATGAAAGGTTTTGATGATTTGGGTTGTTTCAGATTTTGATTCATTAGGAATACTCAAGTAATTATAGCGTGATGATCAATAAAGGAGAGAAATCATCTAGCCTCATTTAGGTTCTTGCTTTTGAAGACTCCTAAATATCATTATGGATAATGAAAAAGGGTGTGAGGGTTTGTACCAGTTATGGGATAAACATTTCTAGTGTGTTTGTCAAGTTGACAAATCTCATATAGATAAGAATTAGGTTTTTTATTAATAAACAAATGAAAATATAACTTTGCAATATAATTGAAATTAGGATAACCCAAACGATAATGTCATAGCATGACTTTTTGCAACAGTCATGGACTCAACAAGTTCAGAGATTTGACGAAAAGATAAGAGTGGTGACCATTTGTTTGTTTAGAGAGAGACTTTCCTTGCACAAATATAAGCTTTGATGCATTTCAACAATGTTATTCACCTTTTCTGAATCCACCATATGAAATTCACAAGAGCTTGCAATGAATTTAGTTATATATTTCATATCATGTGTAAGCTTACTGATTGAAATTAAATTACAGTTCAACTATGTATAATATAAAAGAATGGAAAGAGTAATATCCTTAGAGAGCTGCACATCTTTTTTTCCAACAGCTTTTTAGTGTGATCAATCTTCAAGTCTGACAAATCTAGATGTAGTTGCCTCTCGATAGTTAACTAAGCATTGATGTCTTCAATCATATACCAGAAGCTTCTGAATCTATGATGAAATTCTAATTCTCTCATTGCTGGCAAGATGAGAGAAGGATATATTATCTTGGTGTGTTGTGAGGCTGATGCGCTATTATGAATTACCCCCAAGGAGTTTTTTGAGTTTTCAAGTTGTTTCTCCTTTTCTTTTCCACAAAAATAGATAAACACAGATAGGGATCATTGAAGGAAGTTATGGTCATTGATTTTATGATTTTTGATAAAGGTTGAGAGCTCAATAGCTTTTTGGAGAGAATTTATGATCTCTGATTAAGAACTAACCTCTGAAGTAGAGATAGACATCTTCATTCCGTACTGTCATAAACCCTATGCACATTTCAGGTTGAGTAAGGGATTTAGCTGTTGCTGCTCGTGGCAGAAAGAGTCCAACAACTATGATAAGAGGCAGAGGAGGGCCTGCAAGCTGGGTGGAGGGATTATGGTGGTTACTGTTGAACTGTTATTGGAGAGGTTCCAGAGGATGGCCTACAGAGTGGTTGAAGAGATTTTGACGGTTGCAAAGGGGATTACGGTTGCTGGAGAGGCTCTGACGGTTGTAGGAGTGAGCAAATGATGGATAACTCAACAAGGAACGGTCGTTGCCTAGAATCAGGCTGTCAGATTATATGAATGCTGCAATTCGGTCGTTGCCTTCCCAACTAGCTGTTCTTGCGACTGTATCGCAAACGTCGGTCACGAAGATAAGGGTTTTGGGCAAATGAAGTATCTAAATGCCACGATCTGATCGTTGCCTTTCTAGCTAGCTACTCTTGTGACTATATCACAAATGTCGGTAACAAAAAAGAGAGTTTAGGGCGAACCCGGGTTGTTTAGAAGCAAATCCTTTGCACTGCAGACGATGACGACATGAGGTCGCAAAATCAGGCTCTGATACCATGATGAAAAATAAAGTTTGGGAGGAATATTTGGATGCTTTCATTATTCATACATAAGGGACATATATAGGAAAGCCGGTCCCTCCAAATTTACAATCTTACTTAATATATCTAGTCTAAATGTGGAAAGGAAATAAATATAAAATAAACATAAATAAACATAAATAGGAAGAGAATAAAAGTAATGAAGGAGTTTCCAATTAAATCCTCTAATATTCTTTAGGTGGTTGGCCGGCCCACCATAGAAAGGAGGCCAGGACCTTCTTGAATTTCTACAATAACACTTTTGTGTCATAAACCTTTGCATGAAAGGTTATATTTCACTTTTAAAAAGTAAGCAATAGTGGTATTTTTGATGTGATAATATTGATTGGATGTTATGTTTGTAAATATGGAAGTTTAGGTGTTTGATATGTATGCAAATGCCTCTTTATTGCTGTTGTCTCTCTCTTTTTTTTTTCATGCATCAAACCAGCAGTAATGGCTAGTATTAACTTTTGTCTGATACAAATTTTGCGATGCAGACATCTTGAGGAGCAAGGTAGAATTCTTCTGGAAGCATATAGAGCAATGTCCCATGAATTGCATAATCTTCATGTATGTATGATGTACCACTAGAATCTTGCTTAGTTAGAAAAGCCTTTTAAATTATTTTCTTTGTTTTTTAAGAATTTTGAACCACTAACTTGGGGTGTAAACGACTTGAGATAACCCAAGCCACCCTTGGCTTGTGCTTGAGCTTGATTGATTAATCAAGTTCAAGCTCGAGCTCCAACATAAGTCTAAGAATTCAAATTGGCTCACGAGCTGGCTTGTTTATTATGAAAAAGAAAAAAATAATATTAATTCAACCTACTATTATGATAAAATTAACAGTTAGGAGGAAAATAAAAAGAAATCACTTGAAATAAAATGTAAAATATTTTTTTTAATATTTTAATAATTTAACGATAAAATATTGATTTTTTATCTATTTTGATTATATTGTATATTAATATTATTTTAAACCACTCGGCTCACGAGTTAACAAGTCTAGTTGGGGTTGACTTGAGCTACTCGTCGAGCAGAGCCCAAGCCGACTCACAAGTGGGCTTGGCTTAGCTGCACCCCTACCTCTGTCTTCCACTTTTGAGGTCAAAGGCAATACCACTCAACCTATCGTTCTTTGGTAAACATAATTCTTTAGAAATGCTTGTCTTGTTAACTTTTGACATTATTGGGAAATTGATTGTTTTTCTTACTTTTTGATGCTAAGGTCGAGGAAGAAATGCTTATGCGCAAGCTTTACGAGCACATGTTAGCTGAAGGCTTGGTCAAAAAGGTATTGGTTATTTGACTGCACAATTTACTTGATTCTCCTTTATATATAGTTTTTTCAAATTTCTTGTTTACATTATCCTTTTATAAGCTAAAAGTCACATTTTATGGCAATCAAGAGATTCATTTCATTTCCTGTTTTTTGCCTTTGCCATTTTTGATGATATTTTGTAATATGTAATTCGTACTATAGTGCCAATCATGCTATTCTTTTTATTTTGCTAAAAATATCCTGCTAGAATGAGTTTGAGCTTGCCGGATATTTGTTAACTACTACATTAGAATGAGAAGAAATATTTCAAATATAGATGCATGGATGAATGCATGCATGTCGGTTAGGCTGTCACTACTCTCCTAATTATAATAAGTAGGGATCAATAAACTATTAAAAACTCTTAATTAAATGGTTGTAAAATGGTGTAGGATCACTGGTAATTTAAAAAAAAAAAAGAGGAATAAAAATAATGACTTATATCAATATAAATACAAAATTAAACAAAAGTAAAAACTTAAATTGTAGAGTAAATGATTTTAGTATCTGTGCATGTTTATGTCAATTTGAGAGCAATACAAATATGGAATTCAACTCTGCAAGCTTAAGCATATATTAATATTAGCATTAAAGCTATCCAAACTAGTTCAACACTAATGATAGGGAGAGATATAAAGATCCTAGTTATAAGCGAGAGAGAACTTTTCTCTTGAGCACAAATTATATTGATTCTACTTTACATAAATTAGTAAAGCAATAATTACATGAATAACCTGCTTTAACAATACAAGTAAATTGAAATGTAAGTGCAAGAAAAATTAAAGTATAGAGATCTAAATGTGCAAATGATTTTACTTGGTTTTAAGTTCAAACGTAGCCTAAATTCATACTTAATCCTTTTCCCATCTTAAGATCTTTAGTATTCTGATCTTGCTATTGTAGGATGCACTCCTTCATGGAGCCAAAGAGCCCTGACTCTTAAAAGAATGTAAGGCACACCAAGCCTTTCAATGGTCTTGTCGAAAAAGCCAAATTAGAAGAAAGTTTGATTTGACAAAATAAAAATAATGCTTTATTGCAACACTTTGGTCATTGTAGAAATTCAATCTATTCCTTTGCTCAAATGATTTTTATTTTGGTATCTTTCTCTAGATTTTGCTATTCATTCTTTGTTTCGAGGCTTACGAGCTTAGGTGAGGAGGGAATGTAAGTGTGAGGAGTGCAGATTATAAGATTTTCTTAACCCTTTAACACAACATGACAAAACTGGCTTTTCCACTAAACAAGGTTAAAAAAAAAAATTCTTAAAATTTCCAGAAACTACAAATGCTAAATGATTGTATTGTATGCTCTACATCATATTGTATAATTCTATATGGGGATTTTGAGATATGGTGTCCCTCTCCAATGGCTCACTAATGTTCATCAATGGCTCCCTAATGCTTTTGTTAGAGTTGCGATTCACACGCCTTTAAAATGAACTGAATTAATTGCCTAACCTTCAGAAACACACATGAAAACATTTTGCAATTATTACTATTAGAAAATATAAATTACATAATCTTTTTTTTTCAAGACCCAATACAAAATTTGATCTTCACTTGAGCATTTTAGTCTTTGATATATATCTTCTCTTTTTCTTATGCTTACGGGATGAAGATGATGCTTAATTTTATCAATTACATAACCTTGATACTTGAATCACACCAATCTTGTACTTGAATAAGCATTAGTACTTTCAAATAAATATTTATTTTGGTTGGCTCACAACACGAAGTACGTGGATAGTTTATGCTACAATTTTGTGCGAGTTTGGGCTACAACCAAACCTATATGCTCTCGGGTACAATATAATATCATATCGGTTTAAGTTGAAGTTTAGCTTTAGTCACACACAATCGTCAAAGATATTGTCCATCTTAGATTGAACCTAGTTATTCTTAAGGGACATTTACTCCCAAAAATACTACTATCATTAACTTTTTAAAAATGACACCTTTTGATGCAGGGGTAAAGTGGTATTAATGTAAAAAAACAAAGTTTAGGTGTTAGATATGTAAATACATACGAATTATGTGGCATGTATGTAAATCTTCCTTTTCTCAAGCAAGCTTCCTGCAAGACATGCTAGATCAAAGCAAGTTTTTTATTCTAACAGTAGATAAGAATCATACTAAAATCACATAAATTTCTGGAGGAATAATCTAACACCTAAACTATTTATATTTATGCCACCCAAATCTTTCATATTACATAAAAAATACCACCATAAATACCACCATTTTACCATTTTAACTTTTAAAAACTGAAATATACCTTTTCATGCATAGGTAAGGTATGTAAAAAAGTTTATCTGTTAGATATATAAATACATATGAATTGAATGGTATATTTGTAAATCTTCATTAGAAAAGTTATTGATTCTAGATTAATCCCTGTTGTCTGATTGAGAATGCCAATATTTGTTCTTCCATGTTCTTCAGATAACAAAGGTTGAATAAGGCAACGGTGTTTCTAAATCCACATTGTTGAATTGCCTCAAGATTAGTGATGCTTATAGGATTGTTGAATTGCCTCAAGATACCAGTCAATTCCTATGTATTTACATATATAACATCTAAACCTTACCTTTTTTAACATTTCTGCCATGCCAATAACATAAAATATACCACTAATTTAACTTTAAAAAAGTGAAACACACCTTTTCATGTATAGGTGAGGTGGCATATATATATAAGAATTGAAGTTTAGGTGTTAGATATGTAAATACCTAGGAGTTGAGTTGTGTATATGTAAATCTTCTTTAATCGGGGCATTTTACATACATACCACCCCATTCCTTTGTATTTACATATCTAACTCTAAAATCTTGCCTTTATATTTATACCATCCAAATATTTCATATCTCATAAAAAAAAAATACATCCATTGTTACTTTTAAAAAGTAAAATACACCTTTTCAGGCATCGATAAGGTGGTATGTATGTAAAAATTGAAGTTTAGGTGTTAAGACATGTAAAGATGCAGGGATTGAGGGGTCTGCATGTAAATCTTTATATTGTTTCTTGAAGTCAGTCATAAACTTTTTCAATGAAATTTATTCATTGTTTCTTTTAAGCTATATCTGATGACTTCTATCTTTATAGAAGCAAGGAGAACCGCCCTCCAGTAATGATGCTGACACATTATCCTAGCTGTGTTGATATTGTGACGCTACTCGCTTCCTTCCACATGGTTTGTTTTACTCAATTATATTTCCTGTGTCAGCACATTTTAATTTTGGGAAATTTACATATCTAACACCTATATTTTCATATTTATACTTTTATAATGCGTTGGTGTCATAGACCATCGCATGAAAATGTGCATTTTCTTTTTAGAAAATTAGTAGTAGTGATATTTTTAATGTCGTGCTAAAGATTTGAGTGCTATGAATGTAAATATGAAAGTTTAGGTATCATATATATATATATATATCATGTGGCACTCAGTCCTAAGAAGCTTTATTTTTACTGTACAATCATATAATGTCTCTGTTGCTTTGCTTAATAATTTTTTATTTCTCAGCTCAACAGTAAGTATTTATGTAAAGTTTAATATGATTGGAATGGCTTGGGCCACTTGGCAATTATTTTCCATTAATGCTCCCTCATGTGCTTAGCAAATAACTTCACCATATTTTATGTGCAACATTGTCTAATTTTATTTATAAATTCATTCGGGTGTGAACATTTTAGATATCTTGGATCTATTGTTTCAGTCTGATGGTGATATGAATGGGGTTGTTATTAGTAGAATTCAAGTTGGTTGGTTGAAGTGGAGGAATGCTTCTGGCCTATCGTGTGAAAGAAAGGTACTGCTTGAATTGAAAGGAAAATTTTATAAGACGGTGGTGAGACCTGCAATGCTCTATGATACCTGCAATGCTCTACTGCAATGCTCTATGATGCAAAATGTTGGCCTTTAAAAGAGAAGCATAAAATAAAATTAAGAGTCGCTAAGACGAGAATGCTTAGGTGGATGAGTTGTTGGACTCTTAAGAGATAAAATTCAAAATGAATATATTTGTGATAGGGTTGGTGTATCTCTGGTAGTGGACAAGATTTGAGAGTCGTCTTAGATGGTTTGGTCACATTAAATGTCGATCATTTGATGATTCAGTTAGAAGAGTAGATGTTTTAAATTTGTCTCATGTTAAGAAAGGCAGAGGTTGATCTAACAAGATTTGTGTATATTGTATAAAAAATGTTCTTCATGGAGCGAGAGGAATTCCTATACAAGCATTGGTTTGCTCTATATATTATAATATCATATCATTATTTCTTAGAAGATATGACACAACATAGGATCTTGAAGCAGCAAATGACTCGCTTATTACAACTAACTTGTATTAACTTTCACTCTTTAACAATTTGAAGCTGAGGCTAGAAGATTTTTTGAACAAACTTGTATTAACTTTCATGAGTATGAGGTCTACAATTTCAATTGTTAATCCTTTCAAGTTGACTTACATGTTGATGGAGGTTGTAGTTGTAGTTGCAGATGAAAAGAGGCTCGTCACATTCCTTGCTTTCATGTTATAATTTCTTTAGTTTATAGACGTATGGATCATCTATCAAATGTCTCCCATTATTATACCATTGATTCTTTCAAGGATATGCATGCATCTAAGTCCCATGTTATACCCGAGCAAGCATTGTGGTCTGATTTGACACAACTGTTGGAATTATTGAGGTAGCACCCCCCAAAATTTAGATGAAAATTTGGGAGACCACATACAAAGTGTTATACAAATACGATGGATGAATGTACTTCTTTGGGACACATAATATGTAGCTTGTATCGTAGTTCTAGATACAACAAATCTACTTGCCCATCAAACCTAGAAAATATCCGATAACTTGAACTAAATAATACAATTACTTTGGTAGTAAATTTTAATTGACAATTGTTCGTCTTTTACATATAGCCACCATGGTAGACAATAGGCATAGATGTCATAGAGATGGATTGTCGCACTCTTAATGACAAACACCACGACTTAGTAAGGAGCATGAGATTGGGCTAGCACCTTGCAAGGTTCACCCAGATGTTGCTCTACTACTTGGGACACACAAAACAACACACCCTGATGAAGTACTATTTAATTAATCCTAATATTTGATTCAGTTGATGTCATTTTTTATGTCTAATCTTAATAATTTTTTGAATTTATTTATACATAACACTCTTCTTAAGTCGAGCTCGCAACTACTTATGGTGAGCAAGTGGCATATTTTATGTCCATGCTTATAGCTTTGATAGAGATTGGTTTGGACTACATGAGAAACTATCAGTATATTAGGTTAGATCACGATCTACTTACAATGCTTGTAGAGCATTGGTCTCAGGAGACCAACATGTTTCACGTGCATGTTGGGAAGATGACAGTCACTTTACATGATATTTCTATGATTTTATGTGTCAAGTTAGATGGTCCTACATTATTAGGCTCGAGAGTTATTGCTGAGGGAAGGAGATGGGCCTCATGTCTAGATTGTTATGATGATTTTCTTGGTACTCACCTTGATTCAGATGTAATCTATCACCAGCCAGGAGTTCTAGGCGTTATGACAAGATTCAGGATGGGGCAAGGTAGTGCAATAACTTATGTACCCCTACGATGGCTGATGGACATTTAGTAGAGATTCTCTTGAAGATTTAGACAATATTACTTTTTGGAGACATGCTCGGGCATACATATTATTACTTCTTGGGTGCTTCCTGATTCCTGATATATCTAGGTTAAAGATACACTTACAGTATTTACCAGTGGTGGAGGCTTTATCAACTTTTTCATTGAACTCTATTAGATCTGCGATATTAGGAAATTTATATAGAGAGCTGAGACAAGCTACAAAACCTACTCAGGTAAACATGGCAAGGTGTCTGTATCTACTTCAGGCATGGTGTTGGGGAAGATTCTACATTGACAGGCCCACCTTATGAGTTCCATACTCAATTGGGATAGATGGGAGAAGTATGGGTTTCAAGTAAAAAATTTTTACATAACACTTTAATTGTAGTTTTATTTGTATTCAATAAACTTGACTAATCTCTTAAATTTTTGTAGGTAGAATGAGTCTTATGTATGAGAGCAGTTACCTAGTTACGTACGAGTGTAATATGACAAGTTTGATGGACTTTTACTTTCTTATGTATTCTAATTTTCTTTTATTACACCTTCATCATACTTAAGAACTATTACTTCCAATGCTAATTTTGATTATTTCTACACTTTGTAAGTTATATGAAATCTATACGATGATAATATCCTTCATCGTGTTGCTGACATATGCACCTTAGGATTAGGTGTTTAGGAGACTCAGGTTCCATTGATTTGTTCGCAGCTTATAGAGTGGCACCTTTCAGAGAGAGTTATTTGTCAGTTTGGACGGGCTTTGAGTATTGATATTCAAGCAATGGAGCTATGATGAATTTCTTTTTGTGGTATGATTATATTATAGAGACATAGAAGATTTTATCACCTTATTGGGGCTATGATGATGAGAGTCCAAAACAAATGGAAATAGATGACATGGAAGAGCTCAGTAGCTTCATGAGATGATTTGTTTATATTTTTGATCTACTATAAAGAGACAGGAGTGAAAAAGAGGATGTAGATGATCCACTGTCAACACATGATGACCCCAGGCTATCCAGCTCGACTTACATCGTTCGATCGCCTTATGTTTACCAGACTTAGTTTTCGTACGAGCACACAATGACAACATATCAAGGAGCAGGTTCTACATGGGCGACACTAGATAACACCCCATCACAACAACAATTTTTGATGCCCTGTGCAACAATACATTTACAAGATCAACAATTATGGGGGACTTTTGCAAATTTTATATCTGAAAAGAGAGAGTTTGCTTCATATCTCTTGGACCAGCTATCTGCACCAACACAAGAGGATGACCCTGAGCATTTATATTGCCAGCAACAATATCATCATTACCTGTGACATCAACCACGATGACCGCCATATCGCTACACACCTAAAAGTGGAGCGATACCGCCTAAAAATCATCATGGACGGTAGTACGAGATGTGTTCTACTCATTTTGTATTTTTCTTCATTTTGATGTACTTCTTCTTAGATTGTATCTTTGGTAGTGATGTTTTATCTACCATTTTTATTTCTTTTATTATGCATTTTAAAGTAATAATAATAGTAGATATGATAATAGTAATATTGAACATGATAAAAGAAATAATAATAATAATAATAATAATAATAATAATAATAAAGAAGTTTTAAACATCGCGAAATCCTCATAAAGAAAGGCTTTGAAAATGAGAAAAAAAAAGAGGAGAAAACGGGAAAAAATGAAAAGGATATATTCATATGCAATTTGGAGATCCTTATTTTAATGCTGATTTTTTTAAATTTTTGAACCTGATAATTGCCTATTAGACCACTTCTTCTGGTTTTTTGTTTTCCTCAAAAAAAAAAAAAAAAAAAAAAAAAAAAAAAAAAAAAACCTCTTCAATATATGTGTCAGAAGAGTCTAATAGTGCTGCGTCACGTGTCTAGTAGGCCCCACCGCAATACACAGACATTGGCCAGTGTTAAAAATGATGAAACCCCCTTGACACGTAACGCCCCATCATTCACTCTGAATGCATCCAGAGTCTAATATTTTTTCGAAGTGAGATGAGTTCGATTTTGTTGTTTCAAGAAAAATTTTCTTAAATGATATTTTTATAAGATTAAATTTTAATGATGCCAATTATAACATTTTATTTATTAAAATGAAAATAATAAATCAGACGATATAACCGAAAAAAATAGAAATAATTCTTAAAAATTTATTTTCTAATTTCAAGCCACCAAACAAGTCCCGTACGAAATCTATTAAAAAAAAAAAAAACATTTTATTTTTCAAAGAAAAGAGAAAACATGCAGAACCCATCATCTTCGTTTTGTCTTTTGTTTTATGTTTTTCTACTAAATTTTACTACAAAAAAAACCGGGTCAATGGCTATCATGTAATTTTAAATTCAAATATGGCTAATAGTCAAGTCTCATATTAGTCCCAGTCTCTTTTGAATTATTTTGAATTGAGGAAATGAAATGAGCACTAAATGAGATGGGTGATATAGTCTAAAAACGT